TTTTTCTCAAAATTCTGACTTTAATCTGAGAATTCTGACTTTTTGTCTCAGAATTCTGACTTTAATCTGAGAATTCTGAATTTTTTTCTTAGAATTCTCCATCAATCTCAGAATTCTGACTTTTTTTACTGAAAAAAATCTGAAATAATATTAAAAAAATAAGTTAACTTTTTTTTAATTTATTCAGTGACCATAATCCTCTTCCGTATAAGCCAGCCCATTTCTCTACTTCTTTTCTTCTTTTTTTTTGATATATGTGCAATCCCTATTTGGTTAACAAATTTACGATTAAGTTACATGATCAATGTGATAAACATAGAAAAAGACATACATTTATTTGCAAATATTTAATTTGATAATATATGACTTGATGGTCTCAAAATAAGAGCAGTGGCGCTAAAGAAATGCTATTTTTATTTATTTCAGTTTGTTTTTCAGTTGTTTACCTTTACTTTTTACATTTAAATATGATTGCTTATATTCTATTTCTTTTTTTGTTTTTTTTTTTTGTTTTTTGTTATTGCAGAAAATACTCCTGAATATTTATTGTTTATTATATTAAGAGAATAAGAGCATTGTTAACTCTTCCGTTAGATGTTGTTTGGATTCTTATCCACATAATGCAAGCAGAAAAGCTAGCAGCTCCACGCGCCGCTCTCCGTGTTTTGCTGGCAGCCGTCCTCCTGTGGAAGCCTCGGAATAACAAAGACGTGTTTGAGAGCAGCGGCAGGCTGGGCTGAGCGCTGACGTCAAGGAACAATGTATCTCCTCCCGACACACGCGCACCCGCGTGAACCCGCGCACGCACGTCTGCACGCAATCTCTTTACTTCCCCTGTGTTCCCAGTCAGGCAAGGCTGAACTCCCCCAGAGGGAGGGCCGCTCAGCTCGCAGCGCATCAGGCACAATCATTCACTCCTCGTGCGGTTCCAGCATGCAGGACCTCTTCAGTGTGTGTGGAGAAAAAGCAATGAATAGCCTGAGTGTCAATTTATACCACCTGAAAAATTAAAACAAATAAAAAAAACAGGTAAACTAGTGTTGTACGTGCACCAGACACACACTTTATTTCTTTGGGCTTAAATATTTTGATTGAAGAAGACCAATAAAAGTTATTTTAATTGCACCTACTCATTTTACGATTTCTCTTCACACTGTGTCACAAGTCCAAAGGTCAGAATCCTGTTTGCAGTTCTTAGCTCAAGCACCTCTCTCTTTGAAGGGAAGGAAGTTGCTGCCATCCTTTTAGCTTCCTGCCTGAGGGGTTCCTGACACTGCAGTGTATGGGCCTGAGCCTGCTATCAGCAGTAAAAAAAAAAGGGGGGGGGTCTGTATCAATACATTTCAAGGACACCCAGGCCCTCTGGTCGAGGCAGCGGTCCACACTGATGGGAACAAATGCAAACAGTGAAATCAGCTGCTCAGGCAGTCCATCATTTTTATTTAAGGGATGCATATTACTACAGTGGAAATTAGGTTTAGTCGTCAACATCACATATTTTTCCTTTTTTTTTTTTTTTTTTTAGAGCTCATATTTTTTCAACATTTAAAATGGCTTTTGAAGATGATCCATATCAATGGGTGATTGTTCTAAGATTAATGACATGATGGATAAGCCTTCCTTTTTGTAGTCGAGACAAAATACTGGAGTCCCAAAAAAGAGTTGATCAGAAATTTTGACAATATCTTGGAAAACCTTTTGTGTAAAAGCAAAAGCTTTTCGACATTTTCTTAAGCTCTTTTTTGTGTGTGTTAAAGGGGGGAGTGGCGGCCTAGTGGTTAGGGCATAGAGCTTGGAATCCTGGGGTTGTGACTTCAAGACCCACTCCCACAGACTGCCAATGTGGCTCTCTGAGCAAGACCCTTAACCCCACACTGCTCCCCGGGCGCCCCACCATGGCAGCCCTCTGCTCCCCAAGCGGATGGGTGAAATGCAGAATGAAATTTCTCCAATGTGAGATAAATAACATTCAGTTATAATTATTTTTATTATTATTATTAAATAAATTTTCCAGACTCTTTTGATCCTATTAATAGTTATGTTCCAAATGCATAATATGCCTTTTGGTGTTTTATTTTTGCAAACCCACACCAGTATGAGGTGTCACTGGTCCCCCTTGTTTTTCCACATGGAGTCCTTCAAGTAGTTAAAACTTTTCTGGGTGCAAGATAAAGAACATCTGGGGGTGAGGGGAGTAAAATACAGCAATTAACTCACACAATTATAGTGTATTGTGAGCATTACTCGTGTCCTATCCCTCTTGGCATCCAGCATTTTTTTGCACTTTTTCACACTTGATCTTCCCTGTTTCTTTATATACGTCCATTTAGCACTGCTGAAGTTTAGAAAGTTATTCTATATGACTAGTCCCTGTAAAGAATATATGTATTTGGAGGTTGTTTCTTTTTTGGTGCTATTGGTCATTGTGATGATTTATTAATTATGAATATTTATTTTGTGCACAACTATCAATAACTAGATATGCATCCTTTTTTATTTGAGGACTAGAGCTCCCCTTGCAAGGATCCCTTGGAGCTCCCCCTGCAAGGAGCCATGTAAAGAGCTGCTGCTCTTGGTTGTTTTCATTCTCTCCAGTAATGTTCCACTAGAATCCATACTACATTCGTCACATTAAACAAATTTGTTTACATATTGTGGGGATTTTTCCTCTGAGACACTTTCAACCTCCTCGGATTCAGGGAGTAATTTTGCTGATTTGGGATTAGCAGTTATGGTTCTATTGTTTTTAGTCTGTTCATGATATCTCATGTTCTGGTTCATCCATCAAGTTTTTCTTTTGGCCTTATTTATAGCAGCAGGGCGAGGAAGTCAAAGCGCCTGCAGTCAGTCAGGCCATCCTGCAATTCAGAAAGGAACACCCTTGTTGCCGAGCTTTTTGTTGCCATTGCATGACATGCTCTTCAGCCTCTCTGAATTATTCAGTCAGCTGTCTGCCATGAAGACTGATGGATTATAATAAGTGTGGCTCCGGTTTGTACGTATTGTGCATCATTTCATGTGTGCAGAAGTTTAAATACTAAGCAATTGCTTAAAGAAAACCAGCTTTCTCTCAGAGAAGTATGTTTTGACAAGGTTAATCCTGATTGTGTTTTAGTGCATTTACTGCATGAAAACTTCTAATGCTTCCAAACATCTGTGACCATAAAGCCGAACTCTTCTCCTGACTTTGTTTAAACACGAAATGGTTCTTATTTCCGTTTGCCACCTTTCTGCTACTGACCTTGTTTCTTTGTGCTGAAACAGCAGGGGTAGTGATGGATGCCATTGTAGTTACAGGATAGGGGGGTTCATGCGCTGACTTCAGCTCTCTCGTTAACATGGAGGTGTGATGGTGGTTATTCTGCCGCTAAGCTGAAGACCCTACAAATGAGGCGTCACACTTTCAGGAGTGACTTGCACCAGTAAAAAAAGTCTCTTTTTAAACCTGCAGAGCTGCGGTGGTAGTCAAATAATTTCTAAATTTTAATTTGTGAAAAACTAATTTAAACTTGAACAAAAATACTACTGTAAGTGTGGTCTACTATGAGCCACTGTATTAACTTCTTAAGTCCACAACACTGAGCCATGGCTCATCATAACACTTTATTTAAGAACTTTAAAAAAAATTACACAAATAAAAATTGCAGAACAGAAAAGTAATAATATAAGCTCCTTAAGGACAAGACAGTTAAGTTAATTGAAAAGAAAAGCTTTTTTGGGAAAGGAAAAATGCATTTTAAGAGCTCTAAACTGAGGGGATGAGCTTGAATTAACTGAAAAAATAAGGTGAAGCCAAAATCTGTTCAGGCATAAATGTGAATAAACAGAAAAATGAAAAATTTGGAATTGGTGATTATTCCATTAAACACTAAAAAAATCTAGATTTATCTGAAAAGTTCACATTGGGTGTTTAAAATCCATATTTAAAACTGAGCATGCAAAGATTTTAAAGATTAGTGTAATATGGAGAGGTGGTAAAGGACTCAAATAGCAATTTCTGGTCATTTTGATCACTTGAAGGGAGAACTTGAGCCCCAATCAGTCTGACTAACTATTCAATTCAATTCAGTTTATTTAAATAGCGCCAATTCACAACACAAGTCATCTCAAGGCACTTTACAGTTCAACCAGATCATACAGTCAAATTGATACAAAGTTTTCTATCTAAGGAAAACCAGTTGATTGCATTGACTCATCGACTCAAATACAATCCCTCACACTAAGCATGCTTGTAGTGACAGTGGAGAGGAAAAACTCCCTTTTAAAAGGAAGAAACCTCCAGCATTTATTTTATTTTGTACAGCTCTCATGACATTTCCATTTCTTAAATTACACCAGTGATCAAATGTAAACAATGTGAGAGAAAAAAAGACATAGTGCAAAAAAATTATAAAAATGATGTGGAAGTTCCAAGCATTAAATATATATGTTGCAATTTGGAAGTGTTTTGGTTTGGTGTTATCAGTGTGTTT